GGGAGCGTATCACGAGGGTAGGGCTCGGTCCACCCAGGCTCGGCAGTGTGATGCTGCCCAGCTTTATCACATAAACCAGACCGGCACAAACAGATGTGGAAAATTAATCCAGTGTATGCTGTGCAGCTGGTCTGTTATCACTTTGCTTGTGGATAATTTTTCATATTCCTTCTTTATTTGCTGCTAAAATAGTCACGGTGCTTAAATATAGCCCGGCATCCTATGGCCTCGCTGGGGCGCCGTTGCCTGAATTGCGTTTACGTGACCGTGGGCTCCAGCATCGTCTTTGGGATCTCTTGACCTTGATAACTCTACCTGGAGACCTGCTTTTAACCAATTCTGAGAAATTCAGGGTATAAGGACTTGGACACAGAAGTAGAGATGTGCTCTGCTGATAGCTGAAGAAAAAAAGTCTCCAAACATATGATGACTCACATTTTGAGCCTATCTCACACTGCCGTGCTTTATATTTGGCAGTGACCTCCAGTTTCACAGCCTGATGATACAAACAAAAGAAAATTGAAAGTTAAGGAATGGATTTAGTAACCGGCAATTGGAAAAAGAATATAAAAAATATCAGAACCACAGAAACTACTTGAAGTGAGGAAAAGGCTAAAGCATGTTTGGTAATATGTTTGCCATAGGTGTTAGATTTCCTTGAATCTGTGAAGGAAATAATTTAACAGGCCAGGTATGCTTAGGATTTTGAAATTGTGCACATTTTTTCCTGGCCAAGGTAGATAAATCTTTGTATTAATAGATGTATTGACTAAAATTTGCAGCTTTAATTGCTGATGCTCTTAACGATTATTCATTTTAGTTCTTCAAGCATTTTAGTTGCTGGCAAGAGCACACAGGTTGGAAACAAGTCAAGAGACACATTTTCTCCCAAGAAAGTAAAAGTGCATGTGTGTTTTGGCAATACTAAAAATACAATTTTTTTTAAAGACGTCAATGTTGTGTGTTGCATTGAGCTGAAAGTTGGATACCGGACTGAAAACAGATTTAGGACGTCCAAGTCAGTATCTTGCAGTCGAAACCAATCACTTGACTTTTTTTATGTAATAAAACGAAATTTGCTGTACGATAGTTAATCTGTGTGTGTTTGGAGAGAAAAAAAATAATGAAATTACCAAGATGGAAACTTTTAGTTTTAGTTGACAGAATTGAAAATAAATACTCCCTTTAAGTCATTGCCAAAAAAAGAATTTGGGTTTGGTGTGTATTTTCAGGGTGAGACTAGGGGAGGCTGAAGGGACAGAGCTACCTTAAACTTTGCATACCGGTACTTTTTAAAGCAGGATTTTAGCTGTGCATTTGTAGAATTTAATTTGCATGCTGTATTATCTTCATGCTTCTTTTCAGTATCTCAAGAAATAGAAACAGGCGAGAGCAAAAATCACAGAAACGTGGTAATCTGCTGTAGCGTGACGTTTTGGGGATACACTTTTTAAAGATAAATTGCATTATTGCTATTTTTGAGGGAATTAGAAATTGTTAGCTTGACAGTGTAATAAGGGTGAAGCCAAGTGAAGGATATTCTGTTTCACTTGGAGCATATAAGTAACAGGTTAACTAGCCTAAGGATTTATATGCATTGACCCTTTTCACATGCTGATGAATTTTGTCTGAACAGATAATTGAGAAGGGGGCACTACATTTGCAAGTGTATCTATTTTATTTGTACGAGCATCTCTGTTTCACTCTTTACGTGTGAGTGTATCTGCATATGGCCACAGTCGAGCCAACGGGAGTTTTGCCACCAACGCCAGTAGGGTCAAGGTTCCACTTCTGCAGGGTCCAAATAGTTTCTCTCTGAAAACTTTGAGTCATTCATTTTTTTTATCTTTGACTTTGAAAATAAAACAAAGCTCAGCTTTGCTGGTGCCTGCTAACAAAGCTAGAAGTCTTTTATTTTTCATCCCAAAGCCAAATTATGAGTGTTAGTCAGGCGGTTCTTGGAATATGCCTGGGAAGTGCTAATATCATCAACCCCACAGATACAACCAAATCTGAGTCAGGTCCTCAGATGTACATGATCAGCCTGAAAATTAGGAGACTAAGGGCTCTTTCAGTAAAAGCTGGGGGCCTTGTTTTGTTGCCCTCTTTATATATGTTAAGGCCTTTAGTATTCACTTTTTGCAGCTTTTTATACTGAGCAGAAAGGTGACAAATGGGCTTGTTTTTCTTGCAAGAAACCCGTGATTGTC